TAAACTTGGCTAAAAAATACAAATTGGAATCTTTTGTATTTGTTTTGATATTACGACTACATTAGCCATACTTAAGGAGGACCCCCAAAACAGCAAAATATGTTTGTAAAACTTTGTATTGTTGATTGAAAACGTAATTGTTTGTGACAAGTCAATGTGGAATAATAGCCTGTTTGTAGCTTTTCATGAAGGAGGAAGCAAGCAAGTCTCGTAGGCATATCACATTTTTATACAGAATTAACAGTAGTAATTCTGATCAATTGTCCAACCTAAGAGAATAAGATTAGAAGAAAGATTTGGTAAAATAAATTCTTGCTGCTTCTCATATCATTAACCAGTTGTTATAGAGAAGAATGCATATACCAGAGTCAGTTTGATCTAGCGCAGAGGTATCAAACTGAAGAACCACGACCAGATCCGGCCCAAGGGATGCTTAGATCTGGCCTGTGTGGCCACCCTGAAAACAGCAAAGGACCGGCCCACGGTGCCTCATGTGCCTCTCCCCAAGCTGCATTTTCGCTGTCAAAGGGTTCACCATCGCAGCCAAAAACGGAGCTCATGAAGGTCTCATAATACTCTCCTGAGCTCCATTTTGGCTGGCAGAGGGTTGCAGGAATCTATGGCAGCTGAAAATGGAGCTCAGGAGCCAGGGGTGGGTTCCTGCCAATTCTAACTGGTTCGCTAGAATAGGTTACACAAATTTAGCATGCCGTTTAGCGTGCCAGTTCCAGCGGTGGAACACCCCCTCACTCGCTCACTCCAGGGTCCAGATCATCCAGTTGCCACTGGTCCGCTCGCTCACCCCACCCATCCGCACCATGCCTCAAAGAGCCCTATAGAGAGCCCTTGGCTCTCTATTGCTGCCTGCAGAGGAAGTAAACAAGCTCTTTTCTGGTGCTTTTGGGGCTAATGGGGCTTGCCGCTTCTGGACGTCTATTGCAGTTGCGAGGAGCCGAGGAGAGTGCGGAGAAGAACATGAAGGTTCTTGGCACTCCGGGAAGCTGCGAAAGCGAGAGAGGCACCCGGCTTGGTTTAGCCTCCCTGGATGTAGCAGCAGCAGCCCCAAGCACGCCGATCTTGGCCTTTTTTGCATCAGGGCGTGCTGCAAGAGGGAGTGAGGAGCAAAGAGAGCAAGAAGAGCGCAAAAGTTAGGGTTACTGGGCAACGTGTGTGGGGGGGGGAGGCTGGAGCAGTTCTGCTCTGAATAGAGGGAGAGGAAAAAAGTTGGGATTCTTCCTGCTGCAGCCTTTAAATGGCAGAGAGAAGCCAAACTTTTCCCCCTCCATTCATAGAGGAGCTGTGGCTCCCTTTATGCTCCCCCCTGGCTGGCCTCTCCCTCCCGGGGGTCAAAGTACCTGAACGGAACAGGTAGGCTGCACCCAAGCTGGTAGAGCGCCCACAACCATAGTTAGGGAGACCGCCAGTGCAGGTGAGCCACACGGTTGCTCCGATCACATGGGCGCTCCACCAGCTCGGGTGCAGGCGGACTGGAGAACTTTCTCTTCTCAGAAATGTCTTCTCAGTGGAGCTGTGGCAGCCTGCCTGTCCCTTTCAGGTACCCCCAGGAGCAGCAGCGGGCACCACCGCCATCCCTGGAGTCCCGTGTCCTCCTCCGAAGCCTCGCGGTGCGGCTGTTTGCATGTCTCTCCCTAGCTTCTTTCACCTCACCTTCAGGAGGTGAAGTGGCAGGTGCCCCACTGGCAGAGCCTCCGGATGAAAGGTGAGTGAGCTGAGAGGAAGAAGGGGAAAACTGCTGGAGCTGCATTGCCCCGCTGGGTTCAGGGACTTCTGCCCCTTGTGCAGCACATTGCAACTGCCGGAGCCCTGCAAGGACCTCTTGCTCTGGTGGTTGCAAAGTGAGCACAAGGGGAAGAAGTCCACAAACCCAGCGGGGCAACGCAGCTCCACCAGCAGCAGTAGTTTCCCCCTTACTCCGCCCAGCTCTCCACCTCCTTTGCTTAGGCTCCCTGCTGGGTTCGGGGGCTTCTGCCCCCTCATGCCACACTTTGCAGCTGCCGGAGCCCAACACAGACCTCTTCATGGTGCTGGGAAACCTGGTTCTGGGGATTTCCCCCCCCCCAAAAAAAAGACCGCCTGCCCATCTGTCCAGAACTTGCGGCTTTTGGGGGAGTTTCTTTTAAAAAATGCCTCTCCAGAGTCCAGACGATCTTGAATGATGCTGCCTGTCTGTCCCACTCCCAAAGCAACCTCGCAGATTTTCAAGATTGTCTGGAGGGGCGTTTTAAAAAAGAACCTCCCCCCAAAAGCCGCATGAACCAGAGTGACGGATGGTTGGTCTTTTGGGGAAGGTGATCCCAGAACCAGGTTGCCCAACACCCCATAAGAGGTCCATGTGGGGCTCTGGCAGCTGCAAAGCCCGGCACAAGAGGCAGCAGCATGCTGCCCTGATCAACTGGCTTATAGTTAACGGCAGGCAGCCCTCGCTAGGGTTTCCCCCTTCCTCCGACCAGCTCTCCACCTCCTCCTTTGCTTAGGCTCCCTTCCCACTTGGCATAGAAAAGGGGCTCAACTTTAAAATGGAGCACCTTGGCCTTGGGCCACCATGGGGTTTTCTCTGCTAGCTACGTCTTGCTTTGGGTAAAGGAGGAGGAGAGGAGGTCGTAAGGCAGAAGATAAACTTCTTTCCCCTGCCCTCCGGATCGCCAGCATGAGCATGGATCTTGAGGAGCTCAGCAACAATATGAGTAGCAATGGCGGCTGCCCACACACCTACTTTCGGTTGAGGGCAGGCTTGTTTTGCAAAAGCACAGCGCAGCCAAGGGTTGAAGAAAGTGCTGATGCAAAGGCGGGGATGCTTTTTGCAGGGAGGGCAGATGCCATATCCACAACTTTTATCCCTTGCCCACCCACCTACCACCAACACCCCACATGTCTGGGCACTATGTTGGGGGAACTTGGGCATGATTGATCTTGAACCCGGGACATGCACGTCCCTTTGCCCACCTCCATGCTTTTGCAGATTGGCTGGCTGTGGAGCATGGACCCTTTTTGAAGCCGGGTTGAGTCCTTCCTTGGGATGTATGCCCATACCCGAGGGGCATGGGCTAGGACCAGGTGCCCTCATCCGTTTCTCCCAAAGGTACTTTTTTTTTCCTCCAAGAGGCAACTGGACTTTTTGGTTTTTCTTTGAAGATGTTTTGCTTCTCTTTAGGAAGCTTCTTCAGCTCTGAGGAAGCTTCTGGAGGAGCTGAAGAAGCTTCTTGGAGGAAAAGTGAAAGGTCTTCAAAGAAAAAGCAGAAAGTCCAGCTGCCTCTTGGGAAAAAAAAGCATCTTTGAGACATCCTGGATGACCAAGAATCCCCATAGACATCCTTCATCCTAGCCTTCCTTTCTGATGCCTCCTAGCCTTGCTTTCCTTCCATCCCTTGTGGTGGCCACTCTCCCAAAGCCCATGATAGTTGAGCCTCAATAAGTCCTCTTGTAGTATCAAGGGTAGCTGAGGGTTCAGAGGTGGCACACACCCATGGTTTCCTGATTGCCAGGCCTATTTGGGAAATCTAAGCTGGGGAGACCTTGTCTGTCCCGAACTTTTGAAGCTGGTCGGCTCTGGATAAAAGTCAAAACCTGAGCTTAATGCTGACCTAGAGGTTTTGTTGAAATCCTGGTTTAAGTTTTGGAGAAAGACTTATTTCACCCTAAACTTGTGACTGCTTTCATCAAACCTTAGAGTGATTTAGAAAGAAAGAGAGAAAGAAAGACAAAGAGGGAAAGAAAGAAAGAGAGAAAGAGAGAGAAAATGAAGGAAGGAAGGAGGGAGGGAAGAGAGAAAGAAAGAAAGTTGGAGAGATACACACAAGAAAGAAAGGAAGGAATGGAGGTAGAGGGAAAGAAAAAAGAAAGACAAAGATAGAAACAGAAAGAGAAAGAAATAGAAAGAAGGAAAGAGAAAGAAAGGTAGAAAGAAAGAAAAAGAAAGAAAGAGAACTTATGACCACAATTGAGCTCAAAATTTTGGTTGCTAAGCTAGAGCGTTGTTAAGTAAGTTTCACCACAAGAGACCGAGAGTTTTGCTTTAGCCATGAAAGCCAGCTGGGTGATCTTGAGCCAGTCACTTTTTCTCAACTCACCTCACAGAGTTTTTGTGGAGAAAATAAGAGGAGAAATGTGTGTCAGATATGTTTGGATATGCCACTTTGAGTTGTTTGTAAAAATAATAAAATATACAAATAAATAAAAATAAACTATCTACCTCTAAAATTATTTGATTACTGCTTGTAATGTTAATAAATGCATAGTTCAGAGAGTGGGAGGAAATGCTTTCATTTAAAATTATATTAGACTCAATCAGATGAAATGAAGGAAGTGGCACAATATTTCTCTTTGGCACACATTACAAGTAGTCCTTGTAATAACCATTCATGGTTTAGTAAACATTCAAAGTTATGACAATAATTAAAAATAACTTTGCAAACAATTCTTACATTTACAATCTTTGCAAGTTTGCAAAAGAAAGAAAATCTGAAATAAGAAGTAAATTATCTTCATGATCAGCTACTGAGGTCATGTGCTGATTATACACTGATTATAGAAGTTATCTTTTACTTTTCTTATTTTCTTCTGATATA